CACACACACACACACACACACACACACACACACACACACACACACGGCAGCCCCATGAAAAAATAACCCAGGCATGGTGGCACATGCCTGTAATCTCAGCACTCCGGCAGGAGGATCACCATAAGTTCGAGGCCAGCCTGGGCTACATAGTGAGTTTATGGTCAGCCTGAACTGCATAGCAAGACACTGTCTCAAAACAAACAAAAAATCAATAAACAAATACCTACTCCCTCCACAACACACCTAATATTGTTCTTAAATTCTCCAAATTTAAAAAAAGAGTAAGAGGGGTCGGGGATTTAGCTCAGTGGTTCTACCGCCCAAATTTAAAAAACAGTAAGAGGGGCCGGGGATTTAGCTCAGTGGTTCTACCGCCTGCCTCACAGGCGCAAGGTCCCGAGTTCGATCCCCAGTACCAAAAAAAAAAAAAAAAAGTAAGGTCTGCAAAATGTTTAAATCAGATACTTATTTTGTGAATATGCATCTAGTCTTCTATTTGGCATATTTCCCAACTCCTTTTCTTTCCTGAGTTCAACTCTGAGTTGAAGACCAGAGTTCACTTAACATAGCACTTACTGGAGAGAAAAGACTTTAGGCTCAATAAAGCAATAAATAAATAACTTACTGCCACGTGTCATGATCAAAGAAAGTCACCGACTCGCTAAACAAATTAGCTGAAAAAGCTATTGAAAACAATACAGCAAAATAAGAGATAATTCTTAAATTACTAGGGAAATCAAACAAAGTCTAGTATGTCTGTTTCTGCTTCCTTACCAATTTTTGCAGCCAGAGAAGAATATCATCATGGAACTGAGTATCTTCATTTACTCTCCTGGTAAACATGAACAAGACACTAATGCACTCCTTCAAGTGACACAGATCAGAGGGAAGGCTTTCTGTTGGTTTAGAAGCTATAAATTAAAGAGAGAAATAAGTAAGTCCCATATAAATGGTGTTTCGGGGAGAATTTTGGTGTCTTCACTTAAAATAAACTATATAAAATGTTTAGTTCAAACAAAAATCCAAAACAGGAAAGTAAGTTCCATCAAGATATTTGAATTTCTAGCCAGGCATGGTGGCTTTGTGTCTATAATCTCGGCTACTCAGCATAAGGGGGTAGGAGTGCTGTAAGTTCAAGGTCAGCCCAGGCAACTCAATGAGAAACTGTGTCAACAAAATAAAAAAGGCTGAAGATTCAGGTCAGCATTCCCTGGTTCAATCCCCAGGACTACACACACAAAAAGAAAAGTATTTTAATTTCTACTAGATAAGTATTTGAAAGCAAGGGAAACTGAATTTTTAACAATTTTTTTTAAATTTGAAAACCAGCAGATCTCTGGCCCTATCCCTAGCTCTCTGATTTGTTAAAAAAAAAAAAAAAATGGGGAAAGGGGAGATAAATTTTTACTTTTAAAGGATCCTTGTATCTCTCCCAGAAATAAAAACTGTATAATTCCAGAAGCATATAAAATGCTTAACATGCCATGCAGTACAGGCTAATTTTTTATCACATTCTTGACAGCTTGAATCACCAGTAGTATATGCATGACTGTCCCAGTACGTGGACTGTACTGCTGGTGGTACAAATGGATCCAATAAATCACTTTTTTTTGTTTTTGTTTTTGAGACAAGGTCTCACTACATAGTTCAGGCTGGCCTCAAACTTACTATGTAGCCTACACTGGCTTCAAACTCATGGCGTTCCTCCCGCCTCAGCGTCCCAAGTGCTAGGATTATAGGCATCCAACACCACGCCCAGCATATCCAATCACTTTTATCTATCTTTTTACTAATAAAATAGAAAGTCTACATAAATGAACCAAATCTAGTTAGTTGGTTGAATCTGAATAATTGCTGCCCAAATATAAATATTGATACTACTCATATCAATTAAAAAATTATTACAATAATCAAAAATTTGTTTCATTAATTTAAAAGAAATTTATAATTGTGAATTTTTTAAAAACATTTTACACATAAAGGCAGCTGATTTGTGCAAAATATGTGAAATAGAATGCGTTTGGCTGTTTTGGGGGGTCACAGTGGCACCCATTTTTCAGATAATTCTAACACTCTCTTCATTGCTTGTGCGCATTTCTTGCTGATCCTGTATAAGCTTTTACAAAATCATTTTTGAGTAATGTGCACCCATGGCATTTCTTCACAGGTTAATACCTTATCAATAATTAATTTTCTAGGGCCGGGGATTTAGCTCAGTGGTTCCAGCGCCTGCCTTGCAAGCACAAGGTCCCGAGTTCAATCCCCAGTACCAAAAAAAAAAAAACCAAACAAACAAACAAATAATTAATTTTCTAAATTTTAACATGGAAATCTTACAAGTACCCCATTGCTGGTATATATAATATGCATTTATAACTGCTGTACCACAAATTAGCTATATTGCAACTTTTTATACTATTTTAATGTTTTATTTAAGGAACTGTAATATGATGACATCTGATCTGCTAAATCGATGCCCTTCTTTGCATTACTGTAATCAAAGACCCCCTGAGAGGTGACACAAGCCACCAATGGGATAGTCATACATGTACCAACAGTGGTTTAAGCTGCCCAATGGAACAGTCAATTCAAATCAGAGTTGCCTAGCAGCAAGACATGCGAATTATGGCCCTGTCGTAGACATCATATTTGAACACAAAAAAAAAAAAGATGAAAAATTTAGAACATTATAGATCCTCAGTTAAAAATCAAACAGAAAAGTCCAACAAACTGGACAAGCAAAAATAACACACAAGAGACAGGATGAAAAGGTATTCTAAATTTTAGAATCAAACTCTATTTGGATGCCACTTGGTAACACTGAGGGACATTACTGATAATGAATGAGCTTTCTGCCATCCTAAAGAACCAGTGAATGACAGCCATGGGGAAGGGAGACTTAGCATCACTCCCAAGAAATATCTCCAAGGCAGGTCAATCCTACCTGAAAGAGGCAATATTAAACTGCAAGCACAACTGACACCTTGTAAGACCAACCAAGTACAGTCAACTCAACCAGTTTGTATGCCTCAATTATATTTTTCCATTTTAGAACATAAGAAAGAGTTAGATCTCCATTACTCACACACCTCGGCCTTGTTGATGAATTGCTAAAGATCTCAGAACAGCTGAGCTATTGAGCAATGCGTAGATGTAAGACTCCACTTGCAACCTCGAGAGCACAGAAGTGTAAGAATGAAGGGCCAGAGTCTGGTGGAGGTGTTCAGATTTGGCATCAAATAGCTTCTTCAGCTCCTCCAGAGCATTTTCATTCATTTCTACTCTCTGGTAGCGATGATGGCCAGAAACTTTCACTTGGTCTGCACAGATACCCTACCAGTGGATAAAAAGGTAAAATATGAAACCAGTATTCTTTGAATTTTTAGCAATCAGGCAGAAGGTATATGATACACAGCCTTCAGTATCACTTCCAAAGAGCTAATAATCATGAAGGGACAACACTACTGTGCAAGAAATAATACCAGTGAATAAATGACCATGTGCCACACAGAAGACTGCCAATTACAAACACATCTTAGGGAAAAATAACACTAAGAAAAAGTCAGTGAGGAAAGATGAAAGAAAACAACACAGCTTCTCTCTCAGTCTTTCACGCTGAAAATCTCATCCTCTATTTTATGAACATGAGGCCAATGTGATATTCCTTCAGTTTCAAGCTACCTAAAATATCCCTGGATCTACCCTCATTATTCTTTGCAGTTCTGCTCAAAAGAAACTTCTAACTGGGTATGGTGGTAGATGCCTGTAATTCCAGTACTCAGAATGTTGAGGTAGCAGGATCACGAGTTCAAGCCTGCCCTGACTATACAGTGAGACACTATCTCAAAAATAAAAGGAAAAAGTAAACCCCCTCTGCTCCAATACTAACTCCTCCAGTTCTGTTCTTGACTCTATCCTTCTTTCCAACATTTACAAATGTTTCCCTCTCCACAGACTCCTCCCTGTATACAAAGAGATACACAAGTCTCCCAACAAATGATAGTTAGGAATCAGGAAATTACATTTCTCCCTAATATCTCCTCGAGCTTCCCTTCAATATCAACCTTCTCAAGAGTAGTTGTCTCTTCTTTGCCATCCCTCCCAAGTCACTGTAAAATGACTTTCTTATGGTCACCTTGGCCTCCATATGACCCCATCTAATGAACTTCCCTGTTTCCTCATCTCTCAACCTTGACACTCTCCACCGATTAGACATTTGTGGCATTATGGCCAAAGTCTCAATGGGCTGAGTTTAACCTGGAGACATGATTTTCTGCCTTTGACTGTGTATATGTGCTAGTTAGTTGGTAACATTGCCTATCAGTATCTCTCACACAAAAATCCAGGTTTCTAGTTTCTTTTGGAAAATCTTAAGATGTAGCAATCCTGGATCATCGCTATATCACAGCAACCATCAACCAGAACTTGTGAGAAGCCACCCCCAGTAGACTAGGCATGAGATTCCCCAGCGACCCTTGTCCTACTCAGCCTGCTTCATTCCCACAGGTTATGGGCCCAGCCTCTGCATTTGATTTCGTGATCCCTGTACTACTCTGGCCTAAGTCAGGGTTAATGTGGGTACAAGGACCAAGTGTGGGTCTGGACAGCATCATAAGAACAGCAGCTCCACTCAGAATTTCCCAGGCTCTTGAGAGTTTTACAGAACACTAGTCAAAATACCTGTGCAGATATTTGTTCCTCCTTAAAGTGCCACAATCGGCTTTTAGCATTTTGGCAATCAGATGTCACAGTAAGCAGCTCGGCTTCAGCCAGCAGCAACTGCTTCCTACATCGTGAGTAGTTCAAAAGCAGCTCATAAAATTCATGCCTGTCCTGATGAGCCATGCTGTCAAATTCTTCTAAATATGACTCAACATTCTCCAGCCATGAACCAGGCTCCAAGATCTTTAGCTGTTCTTTAGTAAATGCTATTAGTTCGGGTTGAGATGGGAGTTCTGGGTAGAGTCGCTCACTACACAGCAAGGGTTTCACAGCCACCAAAGATTGTACTTCTTCAGAAATTTCAGCTGGCAACTGAGGATATAGTTTCTTCACTCTAGGTGGCTGAGAAACTTCTTTGGCTTCATAAGAACTCTGCAAGTCAACATTTTGAAGTACTTCTGAAGAACAGCCCAAGGCTTTCCTATTCTGAGTTTCTCTGACTTGTAAATTTTCCATTTCCTGCTCAGTATAGGAAAAATCAGATGGTAATGTGCTTTCTGAAGGTCCACATTGCACCACTGTATTTTCCTCTCCTTCTATAAAGTTCTTGTGGGTTTCAACTTTGGTTTCCACGTTGTATCCAGAGTTCTCCTTTGACGTGATTTCATCAACCCCAACACAGGCTCTGACTTCTTCCTCTTCTTTTAGGGGCTCTGGGTGACATGACACACAACCTTCATTGTCTATAGTCAGGGAGGTGAGTGGTATATCAAACATTTCACTTTCGTTCTGTCCACTGACATCATTCTGGAGCTGGGAATCAGTTAAGACCTTCAGATGGTCTCTGAATTCACAAGATGGAGGAAGTATTTCCTGTTCTTTGGAGGTTTTTGGAAGGGAGAGTTCATCAGACTCTTGTGTCCGAAGGGTTTCATATTTCTTCTTTTCCTAAAAACAAAATTTAATATGAATAATTTAACAATAACTGATGCTTTCAGCATAAGGATTTTTTTGAGACAAGAGACTCACCATGTAGTTCAGGCTGGTCTTAAACTCACTATGTAGCTCAGGCTGGCCCAGAACTCATGGCAGTCCTTTTGCCTAAGCCTCTAGAGTGCTGGGATTACAGGCATGTGCCACCAAATCCAGCTCAGCATAAGGATATTTTTTCTGGTGCCAGAAATCGAACTCAGGACCTTACACTTGCCCGGCAGGCTCAGCACCACTGATCTATAGCCCTGGCCCAGCACAGGGAATTTTTATTTTTTGGTACTTGGGATCAAACTCTCGGGTCCTTGCACTTGCGCAGCAAGCAGCGAAACCACTGAGCTAAATCCCCGGCCCAGCGTAAGGAATTTTTATACTGCATATGAAATCTAAATTTTGTCATTTAACAAATGGAATATAAATGTACTTCATAAGCAATGTGTTTCATGTTCAGTATTATCCAACTTTGAGTACAATGAATTTGGAGATTCACTAATTTAATTCTAAAAGAAAAAGACATCACAGTGAGTAGCAAATTATGATTCAAAACTAGGAAAGTGTTAACTAGATTGTCCATCATTTTGCTACAGGTTAAGTAAACAAAACAGTCATCAGCTACCTTAGGGTACCACAGGGTTTTATCTTTTTTTTTCTTTTTGGTACCAGGGATCAAACTCGGGTCCTTGCGCTTGCAAGGCAGGTGGCAGAATCACTGAGCTAAAGCCCTGGTCCCTGGGTTTTCTTTATCCTGACAAATGTATTTACAACAAGCTCAAGCAGAAAATGTTGTAAGAACTAGAACACCAAAACAAATAGCTACAGGGCATAAGGGGAGGGGGAGAAATGGGATAAAATAAAATTTATTTTTAAAAAAATAGCTACACCATTAGATTACAACCTACAAGATAAAATAAATATTCCTGAGCCCACAGTGATGAGCAATTACCTGAATGAATAAATGTATAAATAAAATGGGTGGGAGGTGGATATGGTGGCACACACCTCTGATCCCAGTGCTCTGGGAGGCTGAGGCAGGAGGATCTGCAGTTCAAACCTCGCCTGGACAATGTAGCAACTCAACAAACAGAAAAAGGGCCTGAATGGAAAAATTTCTGAGAATCAAATATATTCTAAATTTTAATTAGTTAATTTCTTGGTTTTGAAAATGTTCTATGCCACAGAATGTATGGATATACTGTAGAAGATGATACCATAAGAGAATGCTACATAATACAGAAATCCTCTAGGTAATATTTGGTTTGGTTTTTTTGGGTACCGGGAATCCAACTCAGAACCCTGCACTTGCGAGGCAGGCAGCAGAACCACTGAGCTAAATCCCCGGCCCTCTGGGTAATATTTGAAACCTTTCATTAAGTGCAATTATCTCCAGAAAGCAAAAGCATTAAAAGTTAACCATCAAAAAAATAAAATTTTTTTTTTTTTTAAATCCCAGGCATTAGCACACAAACTAGGTAACATAAAAATCCAGGCCAAATAAAGAAGAAAAATTATAGGAAAATTATTTAAATAACATTTAAATAACCCAAGTTTGATCCCTGGTACCAAAAAAACCCCCAAAATAACATTTAAATAAAGTTGTTACATTCAAACAAACTAAAAATCTGACTGAAATCACTCAAATGTTTCCCTTTCACTATGCAATTTTAAGGAGCAGAGTTACACAAGTTGGTGTTTTAGATCATTCTTCTCTCAATGTTCAGCAAAAATAGTTGACAAGCCAGGCATGGTGGTGCATGCCTGTAACCCCAGCACTCAGGAGGCTGAGGCAGGAGGATTGCTTTGAGTTTGAGGTCAGCCTGGGCTACATAAGAGTTCAAGAATCATACCACAGCGATATATGTGCACCCATGTGGCACATATATAGTGGCACAGTTTGTAATAGCTAAGGTTTGGAAACAGCCCAAGTGCCCATCAACTGGAAACTGGATAAAGAAGATGTGGGTTTTTTTATAAAATGGAGTACTATTCAGCCATAAAGAAT